AGAACATCCGGGTATGGTCTGCGCTCGGCCTTCCTCTTGAAGAGGAGCGCCGAGCACGAGTGTTTGACCTTCATCCGGGAAGAACATCCGGGTATGGTCTGCATTCGGTCTTCCTCCTGCGGAGGAGCGCTGAGCACGGGTGTTCAAGCGAGCTCTTTTCGCAAAAACTTCATTCCATTGAGTTCAACCGAAAAGATTTGCGCTCACTTGTATAGTTTCGGCCCTCCAAAGTGTACCCCGATGCCCTAGTGCGGACCAACTTGGCCTTTACTGCATCGTCCGGGAGGGCGCCATCCTTCAAGAAGGCAACTATGTCGTCCATCCAATCTCTCGGCCGAGCACAGATCATCGCCACGGGGAAGGCATGGATGCTCGGCTCGGACAACTCTTCCACGTTCGCCATCCGCCTGATATGCTCGGGCGTGTCCGAGTTCAGCTTTGACAAGATATCCGCCTCGGCATTCTCCGCCCGAGGGATCTGCTCCACACTATATGCGGTGAAACTCTTAAGCAACTCTAGAGCGGTATCTCTGTACTTCTTCATTCTTTCGTCCTTCACCTCAAACTCTCCCGAGACGTGGCCAACCACCAGCTTTGAATCACACTTTATCCTTAGCTTTGTTGCGTTCATCCCGGCTGCTAGGCGTAGCCCGCACAGGAGCGCTTCATATTCCGCTTCATTGTTTGATGCCTTGAAACCGAATCGAATTGAGTAGTATGCTCTGAAGCCTTCGGGAGTGATGACTACCACTCCACCCCCCGAGTTTTTGGCGGCGGAGGAGCCGTCGGTAAAAACTATCCACCAGTCCTCGGCTTCCGGCTCTTCCGGGCTCGGCTCCTCCCGAGCGGTGCACTCCACCACGAAATCAGCTAGCGCCTGGCCCTTGATCGCTGGCCTTGGCTTAAATTCGATCTGGAAAGCTCAAAGGAACACCGCCCACTTGGACATGCGTGAGGGTGCGTTCGGGCTCCTGAGCAGCGCACCAATGGGCTGTTGGGAGAGCACTTGAACCGGGTGAGCTTGGAAGTAGGGTGTTAGACGCTGCACGGTTGAAACCACGGCGAGGACCGTCTTCTCGGCTACTGAGTATCTGAGCTCGGCACCCCTCAACGTCTTCGCCGTATAATACACCAGGTGCTGAGCTCCGCCTTCGTCTCGAACTAGGACCGAGCTCAAAGCTTTGGGTGAAACTCCCAAGTATAAGTACAAGGTCTCCCCCGCTTCGGGTTTCGCGAGCACCGGAGGAGAGAGGAGGAAGGACTTGAGGGATTCAAAGGATTGTTGGCATTCTTCCGTCCACACGAACCCTCGGGACTTCTTCACCGCTTGGAA